ACCACCTTCTGAGGATATGGTTGGAGGGCTAGGGGAAGGAAGCGACTGACTCTGAGTCTTGGTCAGAAACCCTGCAGTCCAATCCACCAATCCACGTGGCCAATGGGGAAAGGGTGTTGATCTCCGGTGGATGAAGCGGCTGACCAAGTTTGGTGCCCAAGGGAGGTTTGCATTGTTGGCACACATTTTGGAGTTTCGTTCCATTGTTCTACAGCCAAAAAGGACGAGTACAGTATGACATGATTCGGTGTTCAGTGTTGATCTTCTGCCAATCACATACTTACGCACAAATGTACAGCTACAGAAACAGCCAAACGCGTTCTTCTAGGATACTTTAGGAGTTGAATCCTGTTCGCACCACGAAGGGTTGCAGTGTTGAGTAATTACTTGTCAATGCAACTTTATCCACCTAGATGTCTAGGACAAATCAACTGTCTATATACAATGTTTGGCAATTCTACCGAAGGGGCCGAGGGGCGTTCTTGAACAAATGATAACTTTTACTGGCATCAAAGACTTATGATCTTGAAGGTCAAAGTGGATTCATGCCCAGCCAAACCAGAAAGGGACAGTTAGGTGTGCGTGTGAGACAATCTCGAGATACAGTCGTCCTCCTCTTGTTCGGTCTTCGCCTTTTTGTTCTGCAACGCCTGGCTCAGCATTGGGTCTTTGTATGTCTTTGTGCGTTGTGGGTGAAACCATGTAAAACCTAGACCACACCCACCTACACACCTGGTTTCATTGTGGGTGAAACCATGTAAAAACCTAGACCACACCCACCTATACACCTGGTTGCTTTTGAACACAAATTGAATCGTCTCCAAAGGGGCGCCCACTCCGAGGATATATAGTGTTCTTTTGGACAAGAAAGAGCTCCTCGGCATGGTAAGCAGCAACAACATCGAAGGAGCAACAATTCAAACCAAACTATAGTACAGAACACTGTAGTACATAACAGTGCAGCTACCTGTTGAACTCAGTGACTACGAACAAATCACCTGCCACAGCCCCTGCCTCACGGACCTGCATCCCATGTTGATTCCATCTCACCCGTCGGCGCAAAACCCCTGTCGTGCCTTGTGCTGAATGTCCACGCGGCTAAATTTGCCAGGTTTCTGCCTTGGTTGGATCAATCCTCACAACTGAAGACGGGCTACTCTGTCCAGTCCAAACTGAAACAAAGACATGGTTGTGTTTCCAAAAAGGCTATCCTGATCGTTTTTTGGTGGTTGATTGAGCCAAAAGGCAACATGAGACCTTGCTCCCCATGGCCAGCGCCAAGTATCATTCCTGCTTTCCAATATGAACGCATAGATCCCAAACAGTTTCAGCAGAATCTTTTGGCGTCAGTTCCTTGAACTCCAATGTTGGTGGACAGATATCTGCTTTTGGGGGGAACGGATCGGAACTGAATGATATCAAATCTAAAAACAACTGCACCTCTGTTGCATTCAACACTAACCCACACAAGGGGGTGACAAAGGGCCGACAACACACAGACCGCTTAAGGGTGCACAGACCGCGAGTAAGGGCTGACGGCGCGGCCAAGCAGGACACACAGACCAAACAAGGCCTGGACAAGTTTATCTTGGAGTCTTTTCTGGTTTCAGAATCCGATTCCAACAAATCTGCATATCCTCCATCAACCAACCAAGAGTAAAAGCCGAGCCGTATGGCATATGAGACCAAAGGGCGTGAACTCCGATGGCTTGTGGCCGTAGGTGTTCCCGGTCTTCTCCTGAGATGGGTCATGACACCATGTGGTGTCACAGTTGACTTGACGAGACGTCGATGCGAACTCCCAAACCAAGGAAGGTTTGCAATACCGCAAGGAACTCCCGAAGAGGTGGATGCAGACAACACATGGTTAGACACCTTGACCATCATCCATCACTCCGTACATTGTTTTGGAACTGTCTGCTGGGCCTATCTTCTGCTGTAGAACGACTACAGCAAAGCAAACTATAATTCCAAAACAATCAAACATGTGTATCTACGCTGCCGATCCATGCATGGAATATATATTACTTCCAAATGCCCTTCAGCAACTTCCTCACATGTCACACTTCCTCACATATCTCACAACCCTTGTAAACTACCTCCTTTTGTCACTTGAGTCCTTCAGTCCTTCAAACACCCTCTTCCCATCCCAGTCGTCTGAGTGGTGCTTTTGACCTCTGACTCTCGTGGAACCGTGCCATGCAGCTCTCGATCCCTGGATCCCTCGATCCCTCCGAGGCGCCAGGTACAGCTTGCTAAACTGTGCGATCGCCGCCTGCTTGGAGGATTTAAACCTCAACCGAGATGCGGGACGGCACCGTGAGGTCGACGTGTCCTGGGCTGTCCTGAGAACCCTTCGACCCGATCACCGCAATAATGGGTCGACTGGGGAGAGCATGTTGGTCATCGACACTCTGGTCTTTCTCAGGTACAGGTATTCTTTGATAATGCCACCCAGATTTTGGTGTCACTACCCTATATATATATATATTAATAGATTATTGTAGTATCCTATAGTCTATAGTCTATAGTCAAATGTTTTGGTGTGAGATACCCTTGGGTAGTTGGTTCAGTGGGGATTCGCTCTACCCAGGTCCATTGATATCATCGAAATCCTTTCAACGATTCATACCCACTCAAACGTATCCAGCCCTATAGCCACCCCAAAACCCAGCAACAAGTGATTTTTGCTGTTGATGCTTCTACCCCCCGGAATCCCATAAATAACATATTCTGATGGTAATCCTTCATATCTATTGGATGATAGGCTGAGGAGGATTGGGGTTCCAATTGCACGTGTATAGGAGTCCTTTTTGGAATCCCCCCGATCAAACAACTGCAGGTTGGTGGTTTCAACTCAGACTCACGAAAAACACTAAGTGAGTCAGTGGGTGACCACCACCTATAGGCTGTCAGACTGTCCCCGTGCCGTGTCCCTCCTTCCCCGGTCCTCACGAAACGCCTCGAGAACGCTCGGGCGTTTCCCGAGTGTCCCCAACTCTTCCAGTTTCGTGCCACCTTGACTGACGCCTGGAACGGTGACGCCAAGCCGTCGAAGGGGCCACTACTTCGGAACGCACATGGTGGCAGAACAGGAAAACCAACGGGGTTGGTGTGTATTTTAATGTATGTTCTCTTCCCTGCATACATTATCTTCCCTGCATAGGGTAGGGTACCCTGGTCAATAAACATCTCAGTAGAGTACCCTGAATAATTTTCAAAGGCTGGGTTCATTGTATTTTAATAGGGAGACCCACAACCAATATCAACCAATGGGTGCAATGGTCTATTTCCCTTCTTCCAGGGGGTTGTTGCCTGAGAGGTCTCCCTTTCTCGATACACACCCAAATGAAAACGGTCCCAACTTCAAGCACATAGAGCCCATCATCTGACACCTGCTGTTTGCTTTGATGAGAAAGTGTGTCATGGATGCTCCAACGAAGGGGTCACTGAGGTTCCAAGTAGGCACACTGCTTCTGTGCAATGTTTGAGGGTCGATGATGTTACATTGTGGTTTTGGCTTTAGGGACTGCATGGTCAATCATGGTCACGTACTTGTATGTCGAAACAACACGCTTTCTCCCCCCCAGTTCGCAGAGTCTTTTGTGGCTTTGTTTGGGATGGCAGGAGATAACTCAAAGGAGATAGCAGGAGGGAAACGAATCCATTTCTGTTCAACTCCAAACTTGTTTCAACAAACCCGAACCCAGTGGTTCCCATTGGGCCCTCCAACCTTCGATCCATCCAGACTCAACTGGGACAGTCCAGGCCTATTCGACCCCACTTGCGCCAAACCCAATAGCAGCTGCCGCCGGAATCCTGGAGTGGATCTCTTGAGGACTTTTTATTGAACAAAAACGTGACCCACCGAGGACAGGGCGCCAGGTCAAAGCGGTCAATTGAGTCGAAATCGATCCATGCGTTTTGTGTGTTCCTGGTGCGAGCATAAGGAGCAAAACACTCCAACTCTGCCAAAGCGCCATCCTGATACGATTATAATTACAGTAAAGTCAAGCAAAACATTGCAAAACTATGCAAAACTACCCACTGATGTTTTTTGGTCGGCAATGAGGGAATGATTCTCTGGATTTCGGGTGGCACGGCTGAGCCGCGACGCCACCGAACCAAGGCCCTTTCGACGAACATCGACATGATGACCGGAAGTGATCGAGATGCGTTCACCATGTTCCGCCACACGTACCTTGAGACCTGTCCACGTGAATCGCGTCCACCTGCCATTCCGGTGTCCAAGACGCCTTGTCGGATTCCAAGACGCAAAACCTGAGTTGTGCCCGGTGCATGATTGCCTTTGCATAGATTTGACTCTCCAAGCACATCAAGCATCAGCATGTTGGGTAAACCAAGGATCTTTATGGATTTCTGGTGGGAGGCCTGAACATGTCAGACTCTACCATCGGCCAAACACGGAGAGCGCCAACACAAACTGCTGTCTCCGAGAGAACCGGACATGATGGATCCAAAGCATTCCAACGCAGCAAAAATGGGATTGAAAGGGTCTAGGATGGTCTAGGCCTAGGCATGTCTAGACTCTAGACCCTCTATCTTAGGGTCTAACCTTCTGGATTAGCCCGCTGGGGATGATCAAAGCTTTTCGAGGAGAGGCTTGAAAACCACATGCTCATAATCCCCAGCGTATGTTTGATCCATGCACACACAACCACTGGACCTGCCACCGAAGGACGTGTAGAAAGAGTTGCTGCCAGAGACCATGTCCGTCAGGCTGAGCATCTCACTGTAAACGCGCTGCTTGGCCCTGTCCCGCATCTCTTGTGGCGGAGTCAAATGTCCCAGACCAAACAAAAAAACAAATGGGACTGGAAGACTTACCTATACATGGATGGATCATTTGCATGGGGTCAATGTATGTAATTCTTCTACATGGATGGTCTGGGTTTGTTCAGTTCTGCTGCCAGAAGACACCGCAATTCATTGAGGATCCCACGACAAAAACTGTAAGACATTGACAATACGCGGGTTTGAGAAGATTGTGTTTTTCTGTCTTCCCTTCGCAGCATTAGGCCAAGAATCGCCAAACAACGGGGATCCAACTGCCTCCTGAGAAGGTGTTTCGGGGGCCTAACTAGCTTCCGAGGGTGTGGTGGGAGCCATAATATGAAACAATGACGTTTGAAGCTCCCCACAGCGGCGACGCTCGCACGTGACCACATCCTTTTCCAGCTTCGAGAAGGCAGTCTCCAAGCTATGACATCAAAGCAATAAATGAAGCTACTGTAGGCAGTATGAAAAACATTGAAATCCCAAATGAGTTACAAACAACAAACTCACCCAAATGACCCACTGCCATTTGGAGGCACAAATCTTGGCGTCGAGGCTCCTAGCCGCCTAGGCCTAGCCAAGCCTAGCCTACCCGATACTCCTCGCCAGCCTCCCAGACTGACTTAGCAGTCTTCAAACGATCCACATACTCCGAGAGGGAGATGCAAGTGGGATCCTGCAAGTAGTCCCTGGAGCGAAGAAAAGACACGCGTTTTCTTCGATCAACGGCTGCTAGGGCTGGGCGCCCAGCAGTGTGGGGTGGAACGGACCAACAACGGACCTGTCAAAACTCGGGGACTGTGGACCAGTGAAAAGGCCAAGGACCCGATGATTCCGATGAGGGGTTGGGATGTCAACCTTCCAACTAACTTGGTGCTTGTGGTGTTGATTGCCATAAATAGCGGGATTGAGAAAGGTCTTCTTTTGCACTAAGCTGCTAAGAAGAGGATTTAAGAGGACTATTTTGGGGATGGCATCTGCATCTCTACTAAGGTTTCAACCTGCTTCCAAGTAATTTGGAGGGCAGGGGTTTGAGGCACCGTAAGCAATGTAATTTAAAGACAAATCAAACTTGACTTGAACTGATCAAGCAATTTAGCCAGCAAGTCCTGCATGGGGGACCTCTTGAACGGCGACAACCTACAAAGCTATAGCCATCACAACAAAACGTGGACACATCAACAACGCGACATTCCTCATTTGGAAGCCCTTCAGTTAAACAATTTGCACATTGTTGGGAGATACTGGATCAGCCGGGAGACTTTTCGAGTACTGAATTCGTCAAACAGCTGGTTCACCTCTACGAAGACGCAGGTCTTTCAACACCCAGCCGACCCGGCTCCGCCCAGCCTCATGGCTTCGTAGGGAACACCCTTCTGCTCGTGAAGCCGCTTGGTCTTCTCAGGATCCGCCATGAAATCATCGATCTGCTGCCAGCTTCGCGGACAAATCTTCGCCTTCCGCACCTGATCAGTCTGGCATCAGCGTTCTCCATATTCCCTATAGAGCCCCCACCATATCCTCAGATGGTTTGAACCCGAAAATCCACCCTAAGCACCTCAGGAGGAAGCCCTATAGGGATCGCATGTTCTGGTCATGAAGCACAGCAGGGAACCGAAGAAGCCAACATGTTAAATGAAGTACACCAGCTTCTTCAGTTCGTGACCTTTTGAAGGTTCCTTTTCGTGACCCTTAGGAGGCTTAAGTGACCTCAAACCAGGTTATCAAAAGGTCACTTTGAAGAACCAGGAAGTTATCTTACCGTCTTTACATCCAAATTGGGTCTACCACGAGGACAAAGAGCGAAGATTACTATGATGAGAAGAACAATGCAAACCCAAGCCTTCCTAGTCATTATTATATGAAGTATCCGTTTATACCACTTATGACTTATATAGATGTGTTCATCGGCTCATGAACCTCCCCCCAAACCGGTGCAGGAAGAGGGAGAGGGACAACGAGGGAATCCTGTTAGGGTCTGTGAAAGCAAAATCAGGTCCCTACAATCAGTATATACAGCTCACCGAGCGTCAAGTACGTGCATCACTCTCACCACTCTCACCAAGCTCTCACCTGGTTTCGCCAAGCAACTTTCTCCTCACGTGTCAACACAAAGACTGTCCTGGGTGGCCAATGGCGGCGATTTTTAACCAGAATACTAGCTCGGCCCACATTCATCAAGAGGTTGATTGGGAGATCTTGGATGATTTATTTGGAGGTTATTGGTATCGGTCTAATGACATCAGTTCCTTTAGGGATCGATAGGTCTTTAGAGGATCGACTGACAGCGGCGCAGAAGGACAGAAGGACTCATACATGCTAGAAAAAACACCCTCCCAGCGGGGACATCACACCCCACGCGCACACACACACACACCCCTTCTTCAGAAGCTCCACGACTTGGGAAAAACGTGCCATGTCTCTTTAAACTATCGCCTCGCACTCCTTCGCACTCCTTCTTCCCACCTTTCAAAGAGGGAAGAAACTTCAGTTCTTCCAACCCGCCCGCGGAGGTTCGCCACCACCGCAACGGCACCACGTTCGTCTGGACGGACGTTCCTTCCGGCTCGACCCGCGCCGAGCGGCGCCCCGAAGAGCACGGCCAACGTCCCCAGCGCGCTGGGCGGCGTCGAGGCCACGGACGCCTCGGTCTGAGGGCCGGTGCATTCGACTCTGGACTCGGATGGCAGAATGGATAACGGACAAACAAAACATAAATATAAACATGGAATGACATGGATATCACCATCATCTGATCTATATATATATACAGTATATACATATTTTTGTGTTATATCTTATCAATTTGTTGGGACGATACTGAATGATACTGAGAACGATCCGATATATATACCTGGATCCTCCTTTGGGCGGAAAAAAGTGCCGGACCTCAATCCGGCAAAATTTTCCGCCGGATTCCGAAAAAAACGCCGGAGACCTGAAAAAACATCCGGATCCAAGATTCTGAAAAACAGAGATGATAAAAGGCTGGGTCATACACAAGCAAACTGCCTTTGCGCCACAAGTAGTTTTTTCTGGAACACACTCATTCCACAACCCAGCACTGGAGCCTTCCCGTTCCCATTGCCCTCGCCCATCCTCCGAATGGCCTAAGAGCAGAACCATCACAAAATATAAGCAAACTTGTGCCCAAGCAAAGACTTCCAAGAAGAAACCAAGGAGTATGTGGCAAGGAACCCCTATTTCTCTGCACCCGTGTCTCTAATTGTTTTTTACAAAGTGGCTCTCCATGATTCTTATATGGTTTTAAATTGTTTTTTATTGCTTGCCTCAGGACGGCCCCGCCAATAAAGTAGCAGCACTCATGGTTCCTGTCGAAACTCTTAGTTGAAAAACTTGTCAAAATTCAAAAGACTGAGTCCAAAAAAATACGCCGGAGTTACGGGAAATTACGCCGGAGTTACGGGAAATTACGCCGGAGTTACGGGAAAAAACGCCGGAGTTACGACGTGCAATTTTTCTTAGCAACTCTTTGCAAAACATTGAGATTCTGAACAACACATGTTCCACAGCCCAAAACTTGTCCGGCAGGCTCTGCAAACCTGCGCAACTAGAACTAATTATATCCCAGCGCCCCGACATCCTGAAACAATGGGAGTACATCTTTGTCTATGTTCTTTCAGCTTAGGTACACCCACTTGGGTCTTTCAACACGTGCATCGCACTGTACCAATTTCATCCGATTTCACTTAGAAGATCACCTAAACGGATCTGATTGATCCAGTGTGAACCATGCTGAAACCGGTGGAATGAGAAAACAGCGGAACAGGCAAACGAGCACACTTTGCAAGCAAATCATTACCTTCAAAGAAATGCAAGCCACAAAGAATGCAAAGCCTTGAGAATCCACATTTCAAGTGACTTGGAAAAACCGCCGGACCAAATCCAGAAAAACGCAGGAGTTGGAAGTCCGGCGCCGGACCCTGTAAAAGTGCCGGACTGAAGATCTACGTAGGTATATATAATATATTATATAAATATGATGATTGGCCATCGCTTGCTTGCAAACTAGACCTTCGGGGTCAAGATGGGTCAAGAATGATTGAAATGATGTTTTCTATCATTGTCACCTTAAAGGACTGGGCACTTGTGGTACTGAAATCGGTTGCAGGTTGCAATCCACTTTTTGGCTGTGTCCTTTACAAATGCAAAAGAAACATGAAGAAACACTGCAATGCTTCTATGCACCAGCTTCAAAGAGAAACCAGGTTCCCTCCTGCTTGCAAAGTCACTGACTGGCCTATGGCCTATTGGAAAAGAGATGACTGCGATGTGTTTTCTGGAAAACATATTCAATCTCGAGGATTGATCATGGGGGGGGCCAAAGGGTTCGATACTACCCTGGATATACAAATGCATTACAAAATCCGAACATGCTTGTGTCTGTACTCTTGCTGTCCTACCTACCTGTCCAAACAGTCCTGAGTCCTAACGGTGTGCTCTGTACCCGAAACGTCCGAAACGTCCGAGCTTCGTCCTCCATCAGTGTGTCAACCCAGCTGTGACCGATGACCTTCAATATGGGGTGTCCTGGCTGGAGATCCACTAAGTAGTTTTTGGTGTATTCCATTGGAGACCCCATACTGAAGGTGCTGGGAGTCATCTACGTTTATCATCTTTTATCTACCTTTTTGCTTGTTTGGGACACCCCTTTCAATGAACTTCCAAATATGTAACCAGCCCACTTCATGACATACTTTGACCATCTTTGACCTAGCCACCACCCGGCACCTAGCTTTAATCATCATGCTTTATCCAACCGGACAAAACAACTGAGCTCCCATCATCTATTCCCGTGCGTTGCTCATTCTTCTTCCTGGACGAAGCGTGCATGCGTTTTGCCAGGAACGAATCATGAATCATGAATCCGTTCTCACGTGGAACAAAAACATACATCATTCATTCATTGATTCATTCCAGGTCCTCGTTTTGCTGCTCAGGCACGAAGAAGTCGCGTCGCTTCAAGCGCTCCTCCTCCGCCCGTCGCAGCACCTGAGCTCCACTCGCGCATGGGACCCGTGAAAGCACGGGATGACCGGGGCGCGTGCGCTTCACTCGGATCCCGAACGGTGACGGTGACCGGGGGGTGACCGGGTGAATGGCCATCCCAATCTAAGGATTCGGTGAATGGCCTCCCGAAAGGATTCGGATTTTTTGTTCATTTGAGTTGGGATTCGGATTTCGGATGACCATGCAATCCGAAAACAAACATGGTGCCGTCCAGGGAAACTATATGATGACTTCAGTGCAACTACCTTCGATCAGGATCTGGTTGGAGCCCTGAGGCAATGAAAGCTCCAAAATCCGCTAGTGATGAACACTTCCGCAGGCAAGCATCCACAAGCGTTCATCAGGGCATCTGGTAGGCCCAAAAGGCTTTCACAGCAACAAATACATACAAATACATTGGGTCCTGCTGGAACACCCTTTTGGGATTTTCTTTTTATCACCGTTCCTGGTACCACCGTGTATACACTCCGACTCACACATCACATGGAAGGGGGATGCCATGGCCCCTGTTCGTAAAGGAAAGTCGTCTTCCTTTATCTGGGCCATGCCATCCACGTAACCATGTGGATGTGTACTTAAACCGATTCAAACTCACAGTGCGCCTCCCGTCTGCTCGCGCCTGGTCGCCCCTGATCGGCTCCGGAACTCGAGCGGAGGAACGGCAGCGAAGAGATCCGTGCGCCGGTCCTGTGCGCAGGTGTGGATGGCGAGTGGCGCGTGGATGGCATGGCTTGGCTCCGAATCCACTGGGCATGGCGGCTCTCGTTCGCAGCCAGAATCCTCTGGTTTATTGCATAAGCCATCCCTCTCAGCATGGATGGAATGAACAACTATAGGCCCGACCTTCTTGGCTTTTGATAGTGGTCATCCAAGAAGGAGTGGAGCAGCAGTGATCAGAAAGCTCAATAGCCAACGTTCATAACAACAATTTCCAGGGATCCCGCGGTTGCAGGGTGTTCTGGCGGATCTAGTCTTTCAACTTCAGGTTGACGGAGTGAAGAACGGTTCCCGTTTTCGGCTCTACCCTATATACGGTACCACGGTACTATATCAACAAGATTATAAACTATGTTTGAATACGACGATGTCCAAAGCAAAGCTCTCTCCTGAGGTGAAAGCCACACCATGCTTGGCCCACCACACGCACACGCACGCCGCGCATGCAAGAAGCTCCAAACACTTCAGCGGACGACTCCGCATGGTCGCCGAAACACGAAGCGGCATGGGGTGCTTGAACATATTCCGCTGACGTGACTGAAAAGCGCCAGGTTGAACGAATCGGCTGACACTGAATAGGTTGAAACATGATCAAACACCTATCATTGCAAATCATTGTATGTGAGTGCTTCATTCTGATGGCATCTTGATGTAAGATATTGTGCAGCGGGTCTGAACACAACATCTCCATGATTCCTCTGGGCTGCAATACGGCTACAAGATGTCAAGTGTCCAATGGAGAAGCAACAAGTTCGCCAAATCAATTCTTTGGGACCCTAATATGTGGTTCATCATTCAAAGAGCATTGCTACATGTGATACCAAACATGTGAGTTCATCAAGAAATAGGGCATGTGCGACCTTCAAAGTGACCGAACTTGAGATCCCAGGATGAAGTCACAATTAGGCCTGTCAAAGGCCAGTTGACCTGCGGGTCAACGATCCGGTCCGGTGACCGAACGACCGTTCATCGGTGGACGTCGACCGGCGCCTCTCGACCAGCACGTGGGTACGCTCGAGGAGTTCTCCGATGTCGGAGTCCATGTTGACACCGTCCTTCTCGACCTCACGCGGTCCAGGACTGGTGGATCCGGGACTGGTGGATCCGGGATGGCCAAAGCTAGAGTCTAGAGGGCCATGAGGGTCAGGAAGAGACCAGGTGAACGCCAGGCCCGACGCCCGACGCCCGACTGGTAAGGTATGGATCCAGGTCGTTTCTGTGTCGGCCAGTCATGGCCAGGGATCCAAAAGGTCTGGGTATCGAGTTGCTCTACCAGGCGGTCTACCAAAGCCGCCCCCCGGCTCACCTCTCGAGGTTCACGCTCGACCCCCCGGAATTCGACCCAACACGACAGGTCTCTTCTGGCGAGTAAAGGAGACTCTCCACTTTCTGGCGGGTCTCGACCTGCAGAGTCGGCTTTTGGAACGAAGTCGGTGTAGGTGCCCCGCTCCAAAGGTGGACCAGTCTGGTCTATTCCGGCCCATTTCTATCTATTTGGGGACCACATGGGACATCATGGGACCACTGTGCGGCTGGGACACCCAATTGCTCCAACAAAAGGGTGACGCCGCAGGCGATGCTGTCCGACCGACAGGTCCAGGTGCGCCCCAGGGCCATGGAAGACTGAGGTGTGGGTCGCTGGGTGGGTCGCTGGTGGGCGCTCTTCCTCGGAATCCGCACAAACTTCTGGGTCCCGGTCTCCTCGATCCTCTTAAACCTTAGTTCCAATCGCAAAAAGGCTGAGGCGGCCAGGAGGATTGGTTCCAAAAAGTGAACTCCAAATGAAGATCTCCATTCCATGGGACTCGAATACTTACACTATCTCACACTCTTTCATCAAACATGGAAGATATATAGTTGGCAATCCGTTAAAGAAGAGCTTGGGCTCCTGGTAGTTGATTAGTTGTGTGGATTTAAACAATCTCGTGCAAGCGAAGCTCGGAAAGTATGACTCAACAGTAGTATGCGGCCAATAAAACAATGTGTGGTGGAAGGTGGTCAAATTGTGGACACTGCCTCCCATGATCCATGCGATGGCCTCAGGACTGAGCTCCTAACTGCTTCCGTGCTTCACCCCAAAGGAGGTTCCTGGCACCCGGTTCCCCAAGGGAAGCGCGAAGCGACGCGGGGGGTTTCGCAGGGCGAGCGGAAGTGATTTGCCATTGCTCCGCTCACTTAACAAGTCTTAGCCATAGATAATTAGATATATAATGTCTTATATCTTATTAGCGTCGGCGTGTCATTTTAGCAAATATCTTAGCATGGATGATCAATCAAACACGCCTAACATGTATAGGCTATATAGGCCCAAAGGGCTATACGGTCGGCAGTGTCGGGGTTCACCCCCCATGCGGTGCAAACACGGAAGGGTTCAACGGGCAGGGCCGGGCCACTTTCCCCACCCCTGCAGAGCTAGGGGATGAGCACGACCGTAAAGCACACAACAAGCATCTCTTAGCCCGCTAGTGAGCTCTGACTGAAAAACATGCTTGTCCTGATCGCCAGGGTGCAGGTCCCTGTCCGGCTCCTCAAGGGTTTGGTGCGCTGACGTTGATCGAAACCCGACCAAACAGGTATGGGCCACAAATAGATCTGCAAGTCACTTGTGGCCGCCACCTTCTTGTTTTAACGGGGGTGTTTTCCATGGTTTTCCGGCCTGAAAGAACTCGAGCGGGTTCGGAGCACTTCTTCGGCCGCGGACGCGGACGGCTGTGCCAATTCAATGGATGTCCAAGGCCGTCCAATTCGGACGGCCTGGAGCGACAACTCCCGGCGGACTTGGATGGCCAACGACCTGTATCCTCAGTTCTTCCAAAGAGTTCAGTGGTTGGACATATTCAACAAGGAAACCTCCAAAGCTCGAGGGCTATAGCTGAAAAAACATGTACTACAGAACATCGCGCACGCCTCGCCCACATGTGCAGGTTGCATTGCTCATCTCATATTGGCAGGCCGCCCATCTGCAATCTTGGATTTGCTAAGGAACTGGGAACCAAACATATATATACCCCATGCATGACCATGCCAGGGGATTCTTCGGGAAAATCCACATCACCTTCAGCAAAACCAGGTATATAATGGTTCAAGCGTGATCGAACCTTGATGCCCCACAAGCCAACGGGCATCCTAAGAGCATCAGTGCCCATACATTCCCCAGCCTCCGGCACACTCGGAACAAAAAGACCCAACAGGCATCGCCCTGACGCGTCGCGGATTCCCACGCGATTCCCACGAAGAAATGGCTCAAACATGCTCAAAGGCAGGCGCGAACTTGGGTTTTGAGACAGTGAAGGCCCGACTGATCAGTTCATATATATATATATATATATTTATACACCTCCAAAACAAACCACTTCTGGCAGCCCAACAGTTTTGGACTCCCACCCAGCGCTCTCCCGCAACGCTCTACTAAAACGACGCCAGTCGCACGGAGCCATGTTGGTGACCGTGCCAGCCTGGCCAGCAGAGGTGAGGGCGAGTCAGCATCAGCTATTTCTCGGGTGGCTATTCAAGTGAAAAGAGGGATCTAGTCAGGACAGCCGGGTGTCCCAAAACAAACCACCCGAAAAACCGCTGCTTGAATGCTAGACTCGATTTTTCTGGGTCCACCCGTGACTTGGGTCCTGGCTTTGGGTCATCCAACATCTACAATCTTCGGGAGGCAGGGCAGGATTAGCATGATTTTGAATGAGTCCAGTCAACGATCTCGGATTTCGTACCAGGAGTTCCCAACCTTTTTCTTTGTTAGTTGTTTGTAAGTGGATCATGGGCACGTCCTCCATCCTGGCACCCTGAGGAAATGGAACTGCTGGTATCGGTGTGGTTCGGGCGTGTGGGCGTGCCCCAGCTCACTCCACGGCTCCTTTTTTGGTTTGGAAGCATGATGGCTGGGTGCCGAAGTGAGGTGTTTGGAGCAATGAAGATGTAGACTTGATGAATCAAAGCCTCCCATTTTGGGCTGCAAAACCTTTGACTCTAATTAAATGATATTACCATGGTGCCCCCCGTGACCATCCACTGGACGACGGCCTGGGTTGGACCCTGAAGCTGAGCGCGAAGGCCACAAGGCCACACGGCAGCGCCTCCAGCTTGTAGAGGAAAAACTCGTCGACACCGGGCACCAGCTCCGTCTTGGCGGCCTTGTTACGATTTTGGTTGGGATGGATGGTGTTTCACCGCCCACAATTTGAGTCAACACAAATATTGGATGGTTTACGGTTTACCGTAGATGGACGGGCCGGGTAAGAAGTTGCTTTCAACATTGAACTTTGGGATACCTTGGGGAGTACCTTGGGGGTAAGGGGTTCGTGACAGCTCCCTGACTCTGGAATATTCCATCTACTGTAGCTAGGTTAAACGCCCTTTTTTTGCAAACACCATCAGGCTCTGCAGCCCCATCTGATTCTCAGATCGGCATACGCTGAGAATCCCCCTAGGCACTGACAACTGCAGGCCATCTCGGAAAGCTTGCTAAGACCCTTTTTGGAGCTTCTTCAGTCCTTTTCCTTCTGATCTATCATCTCAATCGTCGCTTGTAGTGAATGAATTGAAAAGTGAATTGAAACTACTCATGGACTCTAAGCAATATGTTGTCACTGTCAATGATTCTGGGCTCCAGCATGAGAAAATCTGTGCTTAGCACGCTGCTTGCACGAATTGCAGCACCAGGATGGGCATTGACTTGTGGCTGCGCCACGTCGCTACCACGCCCAGGCCGGGATTAATATGGTACAAAACGATCGAAGATGCCTTGTCATCTTGTCACTGGCCAGCCTGGCGATCCACCGACATGTGTCTACATGCATGACTCACCAAAAAAGAACTCTGTTGCGATGATGTATCTGTATCTTCTTGTCTTCCTGGGATGTGATTTGAGGTTGACTGTACCTGCCAACATAAGCCCAGTAAATAAGGGAAAACAAAAGGGAATGAAACAACACGGTGAGGAAGAGGTGTACTAGCACCATGGGGCTGCGGGCTGTGGAGCGGGCGCTCGCAGCTTGCTCTGGTGATTTCAGCTTGATTTCCACCTCAAATCAACCACCAGGAGTCACAAAGGGGTGGTTTTTAGTCCCCAAGTGAGTGGATATTGGGCACCCCGACTTCCTCCAAGTTCGGCACCCCGTCTTGTGACTGCTGGCATGTCAACCCACTCTGTGGGGGACATGAGGTTGGCCAAAATTAGACGTCTTGTGTTTTAATGTTTTCGTCTTGTGCCCTTGAGCCTTGAGCATCGCTATTTCTTCCGCATTACTTCACCTTCACTTAGTCACTTACCCTCTGGACTCTCCACAAACAAGTGTAACCAACACATTTAAAATACATCAGCAAAAAACATCAAAAAACCATCAACACCTTCAACCGTGACATGTCGAACGTCCATCTCTCCTGTCGCCCCCAAAAACGTGGACTCGCTTCCCAAAACCGGGTCCCTCCTCGGCGGACAACTCCATGAGGTACTTGAAGTCTGCGAGCGCTCCTTCGATCCCCATCTGCGTTTCAAACATGCTGGTGAACTCGCCTTCCATGATGATTTCAGGAGTGGAAGAGAAGAACGCCTTGCCTTCCATGATGATTTCAGGAGTGGAAGAGAAGAACAGCTTCACTTCTCTCTTCGGGAAACCCCTTAAAAGACCTACGTGTGTTCCCAGTGTGTGTGTCACGACAAAGGGAGACCCCCGAACCCGAACCCGTCTACGACGTTCCGAGTCCTCCGGGTCGGCCGACCCGTCGCCGTTCCGAGTGTTTGGAACGAGCCATTTCATCTTTGGACCTAGAATCTGGGCCTATAATGGGAATAATGGGACCTACAAGGTCAAGGTCCATCCTATAATCCATCTCGAACCATCCATTTTGGATTAAATAAAGAATTTGGACCTACAATGATGTTACAGCCAGACTGCCAGCCAGTGCTCGAATTTCCTCAGCTGTACCCTGAAAGCGGGGAGTGAAGTGGACCCGGTCGTTGGGTCGTTCAATGATCTCCCTCATGTTCTTTGCACACAAGTTCCCTGTTCTGCATCCATTCTGAGATTCTGAGATAGTCTGCTGGCACTTTTGTTGACTTCTCCAACACCAACTACGCACGAACCGGTGGCACCAAGGTGACTTCTCATGGGCAAACAGCTGCAAAAACACACGACTCACGCTGAAAAAAACGGCCACAGGATGCCACAGGCTTGGGTGTGTCTGACGTGGAAAACGGGTGCTGAACGGGTGCTGAAGGGACGTCAAGCTGCGAGGAGGATGGGCAGTGCGGGGCCCCGGGAGTCGGGTCCTTCTTGAAAGGCTTTCAGATCTGCCTCAGCCTTCTCAAAGGTCTTCTTGGCGGCCTTGAGATCCTGGACTCGGAACTCCCCCAGTGGTGGGATGTGCCATGTGATGGGGCGGAATGGTGGATTTATTTGGAAGCAAGGGTGAGGTCGAATGCTCAGAGGTCAGTGAATCTGTGGGCAAGATGAGGGCGTCCGAGTTCAACAATCCCTTGAGGTTCCAAAAGCATCGTTTCAACTGCAGCACGAGAGAGGTGCATCCTAGGTATAAGCACTGAAAGCATCTGAAAGCAGCAAACATGGAGCTTGTGCTACGTCTGTTACATATAAATTCTCTTAACAAGGTTGGGCTGGCTGAAGTTTAGAGGACTCAACATGACATGGGGACACCACGGAGGGGGCAGGTCTGATCAGGGATGGAGTTGGAGGTCCTTCGAAGGCCTACAGGACCTTCAATGTTGGATCACCAACTAGCCAAAATTTTAGGGTCTTTTCACGTCTTGTCAGTGGCCACATGGACTCCAACACAGAATTAGTTCAGACCTGCCAAAATAGGGTCTTTTCATATCAAAACAGGGGTCATGTTTGGGCTCCAGGAACATACTTTTAGACCTGCCCAATTCCTCGGATGGGAACCTGAGAAAACAGCACCATTGGAAGGGTCAGCTCAGTGTACGAGTAGGAGCCTTCCAACAGGTTGTTTTGATATAATTTGATTATATAATTTTGTAGACACCCCGCGTTCGGAGGGTCCTGGATTTTGGTTTTCCAGTACGATCCTCCAGTCAATCTGTATTAGTTAGGTGGCCTAGCCTGGCGGCCCTGAAAATATAACGGACCATTGGCTTCATAGACAACACTGCGTGCCCCACACAGTATGACTCGTATGAATGACCAGGGTGCACGACATGCAAGAAAAAATACCATGATGAGAAAAAAACAGCCACACTGCCCAACAACGGTGATGATGACATCTTCTGACCCGTCCCGTACCATAAATACATATCAATGCCGTTCTACATATTTCTACATGCCCTCATCCACACGGCACCTCGACGGGTCGACGCCACGTCGACCGCCCAAGGCTCCGCATCGAAGCTTCCGTAGGACTTCTTGGCGCTGCCCAGCGTGGCCGTGGCGGCCGAGAGGCCGTCCTTGGCGGCCTCCGGACGGTGACATCTCGATCAGACGGGAAGCGGAGATCGGTCGGTCTGCGGAAGCGGATCTCTTTGCATCTAGCATCATCTAGCCATAAGCTGACTGCCCTCAATTTTCCATCACCAACCAGCCAAAATAGGGTCTTTCGGTCTTTTCCTATCATGGAGGGGCTGTAGGTGTCTATAGTATACCAAGCGAGATGCTCTTCGCGCAAACACATGGATGTGGCTCAAGACTAGCTTGACTCACACCAAACCCCCAAAGCCTTCCAACAAACCAACAAAAACACGCACGTCAACAACAAATAAGGGCGCCCCAAAAAAACAACTCCCCTTTTTCAAACGCCTCGAAACTCCAAACTTAGAACTTGAATCTCCTCACTTGTATAGGTTGTTTTTTTTTTCTCTTCATCTCGGTTTTCTCCTTTCCCCTCGGGTCCCCCGCCTTCAGCGCCTCCGCCGCGGCGGCCGCCGCGGCCTTCGCCGCCTCGGCGGCGCTCGTGGCGGCCTCCACGGCCGCCAGGCGCGCCTGGCGCTCGGGGCCTCGGAGCCGGGCGTGGCATGGCTTCAGTGTTGTTCTGCTTCTTTTTGGAGGGGATGCTTGCATATAACTGATCATATTGTACACATATCACATATGCTACAACATATTTACTGTCTGTATATGCATAAAATAATTGCATATTATATAATCTAATTATTATATATAATATGACGGCGTATGACGTATGATGGAATGCATGTGGTTGTGAAGAACGGTGAATCCTTGGGAGGCACAAAGTTGCTGTTTGGATCCCAATCCTTACTTCCTGCCACCCGTTTAAGACGCAAAACAGACCCAAACACTTGTATGAATGATTCTGTGCTTTTCTTGCCAACATGAAACAAAGCTGTATTGCTCCCGCAAACTATAGCAAATGGATGCAACATATTGCATGCGACAAACTAACCAACTAGAATTTGCTCAAGAACAAGATTCGCACGATAAAAACCAGCAAGCAATCCAGGGGGGCACGCAAACGATCGATCTACAGTAACTATACCTGACATGATTTGCCCGTGCCTTTCAGTCCAAACATGTGCTCTTCTTTGTGGTGAGGTCTCACCACCTCCCGCCCTCTGCGACCCAACCGGCTCTCATCGCCCGAAAGCGCGCGCGCGAATTCTCCGCCTTCCTTCTCGATGTTCGTGGTGAGGTCCGCCAGGGTGTTCTGAAAGCAAATGGGGGTATATCCCAAAGACCCAGAGGGCCCAGTGGTGGGGTAAGAACTGGCCGAGGTCTCGTAAACTGTGATACAGATACAGCAATCCTTTGGCCGACTGTTACTGGTAATGGGACTCACCCTACGCATTGAGTGTCACGTGGGACAAAGGACCAATCAACAATAGAACATGCCCTAGAAGCCGGGAGAGCCTGGAGAGCCTATAAGCATTTCATGGTTCTTGAGGCTGGATTCAGTGGCTGGATTTCGTCTATCAGCATTGGATCCAAACTTGTTCAGTCCTTTGATCTCCTAATACACCCTCGCACCCCCTTAGCTGTATCACTTAGACATTGGAGTGGTTTGCTTATTTTATCCTTTGACGGTTTCGAGGATCCCTTTCTTTCGGCGTGTGGTGTTGTTTTTGCACATATCAAGCAAGCTGGACCCCGGACCGCTAGTTCCTGAGAGCGGTCCGGAGGGATAAGGAGATCTGATGTACAATTCCGGTTGGTGGTTTGCACCGTGCCCCAAGATATGGGATGAGCATATATGCATGACAATAATGGCCAGTCATGGGATAAGGATGGATAAGGGATTGCCACAACAACATCATGGGGGGATTTGTTTCAGCTTGGTGTTCTTGACCGATCGAAGGTGATCGATTCTGCTTTCATGTCAACTCAGTCATGTGACAAGCGTCCGACCCTTCGCTGCCCGGAACAAAAAAGGAAATAGAGGGAACCCCCTCAAATCGTCTGAAACCCATTGGTGGGGTGGGGTCCCTTTCATATCCTTCCAACGCCTGTCTTGGATTTGCTTCAGGATCCGGGACAGAATCTGAACAACAAAGGAGTTACTATGGCCTTTATATATATATATATATATCCCTACAGGTCAAAGACCTCACTTTACTCAAGGACGTCAAGGACCAGGTGTTACTGGGTCAGACTGGACTGGTAGGGTATATATACAGAATAATTGCATCATATCGCGGATACTTCCCCATTTTTGGCACAGAAACACAAACAAGGCGTTCGATACCGAACGCACCCTTCACGTCCTACCCTTCGTCCGTCCTTGATGGCGTCATCCAACTTCTCGACGATCACCAGGTCAAAACCCACTCGCGACCTCACGACCAGGTCTGCGTGAACTCCGCCACGCCCGCGAAAAAAGGGACGCAGCGTGTGTTTGAAAACGTGAGGAGGACGTGTGTTTGATCTTTTCTTATGGCCACAGAAAGGATGGACCATTGAAATTCAAAGACCAAACAGGTGGTGAACTCCACTTTCATGATTTCCAGGGAGTGTATCGTTTTGCCGACTGATTGTTGTCCGCTTCTGTCCAGAACAAGAAGTTGGGGATGAACCTCTCTCCAAGCGTTCACACCAAGCAATATTAATTACCGATAGTAGTTATAAGTGATGTTATATATATATATGCCCTGCAACTATGCCCTGCAATATGGTTAGAATGAAGAATGGCCTGAAGTTCAGCACCGACTGAATGTGGAAGGGTCTGTGCCTACCGTCGCTTGTGCCAACTTAGAGCATGCAGGACGACGCCTGAGGACACAAAGCCAAAGGTAGCAAATAGACAAATACATACAAATACACCAACAAACGGACAAAGACTGCCCACAGATTGTTTCACCTGACCTGCGATCATTGTTTTCGGTGTTCTCCTTCCACATCGTTGACACCAAGAGACTCCGGTTTCTTCTTGAGCGCGAAGGGAATGCTCTGCACCAAGGAACTATCGATGCTGGCCTCGCGGACGCGCATCGATCGGGCGGAAGTTCCCGATGTCTGAGTGATCGTCCCATGGATTCCATGGATGGATCATTCATGAGGTCAATGACTGGGTCAATGTAGATCAACTCTTCCAGTCCCATTCGTCTGGTCTGTTTCCTGACATCGGACTCTGACCAAGGTTTCCTCGCCTCCACAGGCTCCCCAAGACGCATGGAGCCGGGCCTTTTTGGGGAGTTGGGACTCTCACCTCCTGTTCTCAACCCCTGTCTCCAACCACCACCTCACCAGTGGGGAACAGGGGTGATCTCCGGAGTCGACACGTCTCCGATCGACCCGTGTCTCGTTCCCTGGATGTGACGCCAACACACACGGTTCCGGTTCACGGAACCGGGACGGTATCAACGCGTTTAGAACCCCCCCCCATGAAACCCCCTAAAAACCATCTGTTGGTGTATTCTTAATGGTGCAAGATGGTGGAAATATTCAAATCCCACATCACCGTCTTCGGCACTGCATGTTGACCAAATTGTAGTTTTTTTAATGCTGATTCATGACACAACACATGGTGAAACCGGTGGACGACACGTTGCCTTGTTCAAGGCCTTGGTCAAGTGATTCAAAGGCTTGGCTTGGACGCCTGCGGCGCAGGTAAACCCAATGCGGTCAGGACCAGGTGAACCGATCAAAAACATTTTTCTGTTTGGTCCTGAAGAGAAAGAGTACTGAGTAGCTGAGTGAGTTGATATGTGTGAAAAGCAAAAGAATTACAGTATCCAGTGGATCCTGGTGCCCACGACCCCCAAAACAAGAAACCAAGTCAAACAAGCGTCTTTGATACACATGTCTAAAAATGTTAAACATACTCTAAACATGTTCTGTTTAATCAGTTTCAAAAGGTCAGCCAGATCGTTATGAAATCCATCAAATACATTCAAATACAACAGTTATCAACAGTTTGAGGAATTCCATTCAGAAGATCATTTCACCATTAACACGCTGAACATCGCTGAACGCACCATGGGTTCTCGTTCTCATCCTTTCTCCTCCTCATCCAGAGGCACGGCAACTGTGGGGAACATGGATGCATGTGCGATGGTCGAAGCCATAAAGCTTGTGCGGTGCAGTAGGATCTTTTCATCAAACATCATCAAACCACTTATAACCACTTCAAGGCCATACCGGTCACTCAAAATACATGGCACTATATGGCACTCTTAAGTCCTCAGTTCATTCTCATCTTCAGGTCTGTGCCTGTACAGGTTTTCGAACAGGTGATCAGCTGGGTTGCCCTGCATGGATCTGGCATGAGGATGCCTGTGATGGGTGGTGGCCGTGAACTCAGAATGGGCCTTGGGCGGCCTTGGGCCTTTGATCTTCGCAGAGCCATGGTCTCGTTCTTTGAGCCAATATGAACCAATACAACAAGTTTGTCTTGAACTAGAGCTGGGCTTGCCAGCACCTCCGCCCAGTTTCCAATATTTTCCAATGTGTAGTGATTTGTTTCTCCATTCGCCAAGGAGCTCTTGTGATAGAGCACATGCCCTTCTTCCCTGTGAGCCCAAGTGATGCCATGGTTGGATACTTACAGCGCCTGTAGCGCTGACATCTTCCTACTTCATGTTCTCCTGCGATGTCCTGCGGGTATAGTAGAATGCAATAGAATATATTAGAATGCCTGGAAGCGAACATCAGTGCATGGTCTGGACAGGATTGAACGAAGAGAGTTAACGCCATCATCGGCGTTCACATAACAGAACGCGCATTTCATGAATAAGTGTCATGTACTTGGATGGGCGGGCCTTGTTGTAAGTAGATGCTGGACTTGCAAGTACATAGCAGACTTGCAAGTGAACTTAACATACTTAGTGGAAGAGGCGCATGTGAACTTAGCGGATGTGGCTAAGTACAACTTAGCGCTGGTTCTAAGTTACTTAGCTATGTCTGCTAAGTTGTCTATGTACTAAATTCACAGTGCTCGGACATTGCCTCAACACTGCTTGCAGACAAAGCATGTGCCGGCTCCGGCTACCAATTTACCATGCGCTGCCCAGTCAAGAGTTGACAGGGCCAATGCGTTTTCACAGCGCACGCGGACAGAATTGCAATCCACAAACGCTGTTCGCAGAGTTTTCTTGAGCCTCACGCTGTCTTATAACGTAATTGGTTCCCATTGTGAGTTGTAATCCTGCGCGCTTCCACCAACCAAACATGTTCCCACTGCACGTTGAAAGACTTTAGCAGTGCGATATTGTTTCTATTTTCACGGCGAAAATTAAGGTTCACCGATGACTATAAACTATCCTCACCACCCTCTTGCGAGGTAAATATATGCTGAGGATAGGCGTATATAGAGGTATGTATGTACCAACAAACTCTGGCACTATAGAGACGCTATAGACAACCGTGAAGAGTTTGTTTAAGTTCTACTACGTGCGTTTATCGGGGTTCCCTCCCTTCCCTCCCGGGCTTTGCTGAGCCCTCCGATGCGCAGAGGCGCTGCGTTGGCAGCCTGCGCCAGAGAGCGCAGGCAAGGGTTCAGTAGGAGCAGGTGGAAGGTGTAGGGATCAGGTGGGTTGGTTTGGGGGTTCAATCCCATGGTGGTAGAACTTCCAAAACTTTCGATGCCATAGAGACCCATGCAGAATGCAGGATCACCGACCCCAACCAAAAAAAACAAGAGGCTGGTTTAATCCGCTTGGACCTGACCATCACACCCCAAAGATGAAAAGGGCACACCCAGCTTTAATTGTTCAATACTGTTTTGGCTGAACAAAGTGTCCGAAAACTGTTTCTTGAACACCCCAAGAAATGGATAACTTGTAGAAACACACCCGTGTAACTTGGAAGTTTCCGCGACACTGGTGAATATATACAAAATATATATAGGTGCGGTTCTTGACTTGGTTTGGGTATATACTACACCGCTTTCCAAAAAGTTTGTCAGACCATGTTTGCAAACACACAAAGTATGCAGCACAGTGCTTGCCGACAAACAGAATCAAAAAGATCTTGCCCTGTAATGCTTCTACTTTTCCACTGGCTTGGAAAATAAATTTCTGGAGATATTCATGAGCGCCCTGAATTGTAATGAAACCAGCAGTTCTCAGGGATTCAACGAGCAGCCCACCCTCACTGTTCCAAATACCCGCAACAAAATAGATGCATCCAATCATACTGAGATGCGGTTATAGGCCCCCCAAGCACATTCTCCAGCAGCTCAGGCCACCATAAGGCGCCGGTGGGTTCATAGTTCAACCCCAAACTTTTCTCTTCCAGTTTGAATGCATCTTTTCCCAAGGTGCTGTGTTTGCTTGCCAAATACTGAGCAATGGCTAACAAACTGGCATCATCGTGGAACACTATCTTTGAGAGCTCTGTCTCTGTGTGGGACACCAACTTCCCAGAGATGTCATGTTGCGCAACTTCCAATGAATCCATGGTCACATTGGCACAAAACACGCATGGTTTGAGACCGCTGGCACCTTTGAAGGACCATATCAATTTTAATGCAGCCTCGTCTGCTATGGTGAGGCCAACCTGTGCAAAAAACATGGTGGATGACCCAGACGCCTGATTCAAGGCGACACCGTGCTTCAGGGAAAAGGGGGGTTGGGAAAAAAGCATTGTCAAGAGCTTGAACAGCTGGGAACAACCCCCAACCATGGAGCTCACCTGGTCTGATCTCACGGCGCCCAGGTGCATCCACGCATCTTCTGCGTATATCGCACCCTCCAGCTCCAGAAGACTCCAGTAAAATGCTGTTATTTTCCTGTCGGGTTGGGGCCGAAACAAAAGGGTGCAAAAATGGAAATATAAACTACACACATGGTTCAAAGTTTACAATGCCTTCATGATCCCCAAACACCCTTTTGCTCATCTGGTTTCGTGGACGCAAAACGTTCCCTGGAACGATCTCGTCGCAATACACACAGATGCGCCAGGGCTTGTGGGGAGTGCTGGGCATCTCTGTGTGTTTCTGCCAAAAATATTCACTGAAGCCACCCGGTTGACCACACACGTACTTCAACAACTCCACCGGATTGACTGCCGGAAATGTCTTCTGTTGACCTTTTTCCATTTCAGCCTGAATTGAGGTAAACACAGAGGGTGGGATTTCTGAATCCCTGGCTCGCTTGATGATCCGTCTATCGATAGCCTCTGGAAGGCCATGTTTTTTGATGGATTTGAGGATTTCAGAAAGCCCACTCTGACTGACATAGGCATTCATTCCATCCCCGGTCAAAACTCGCTTTGAACTTCCTGATGAAGAAGCCATGTTTCAACGTGCGAGCTCTCCGGCCCTGCACGCGCGAGCCTGAGGGCCCTGCTAAATCATTCTCTCCATCGAAGTCATTCTCCCCATGGCAAGGGCCGATGCAGGGTCAAGTCGCCGACCCGGCACGAATGAAGATAAAACATGCTAAGAAATGTCTTGGTGTAGACATGTGCATTGCACAGTGGATGGACGACTTAATAAATATCAAATTGCTCTCAACTCAAATCTTCAGATACCTTCAGCGGCTGAAATATCCGTGGCACTGCCTGAACCTCAACCCTGCGAAGTTGCTCTGTATTGGTTAGGGGTTTTTAGAGAGTATGACTGACTGAAGAATCAGTTCTGCCTCTACTGAGAAAGCAACCCAAAACACTCTGACTCTGCGCCCTTCATTTCCCTTCGTCAGAATGTGCCTTCTGATCGTAGATGCACTGCCATGCATCTTCTGACCTGGGCGAAGTGCTGCAACAACCTTTTCTACAAGCACTCTACTGTAGCTTCCTTTGCCGCAACAATTCAAGCAGGACTGCTTTTCAAAGACGACACCTCACCAAACTCTAGCTCAAAAGTGTCTGAAAGCTTCGCAGCACCAACCCCCAGACATCTATCCCGCTCCAATAGGAAAGCAACAACAGCAAGAGCAATGGAAATCGTTAACTTATATACTTATATACTTCGCTTAGCCTGAACAAAAAAAAGACAAAGGATAGATGTGTACCCACACTGTGTGCTTCCAGTCCTGTGGCCAGGTGAACCTTTGCAAGTCTGGCCTGCCTAAAAGCTGGCAAATTAAAGCTAAGCACCTAAGGGAAGGCGTCCTAAAAATGCCGGAAAGTCCAGCACGAAGGGGTGCATCCGGGACGATTGCGGCACTTCCCGCATCCATGTGGGAACTTTGCAAGCCTAAACTTGGCAGTCAGCAGCTTGCCTCGGACTTTAAAATCTTTCACTGGTCTCACTGCTTTGGCACTCTTTGTTGTTGCCTTCGGCTTAGGCTTTGGAACCGCCTTCACCTTCAAAATGCCAGCCTCTAGGGGCTTTGTGGTTTGAGGCCCTGGAGCTGATTTGGGTTGGGCCTTGGCTTTTGCCTTGCCTTTGGCCTTTGGCTTGCCTTTAGCCTCTGGCTTGCCTTTAGGCTTAGCTGCTTCCCTCTCCTCGGTGCGGGCCAGCAAGGCAGCTCGGACTGTAGCCGCTTGCTCTTCTGGGCTTGGAGGCTTCGTCTCGTTGAGTGCTTCCTCAGCGCAAGGCAACTGCAAAGCATTGGCTTCTTTTTGATCTTTTGGAACCGCTCCATCGTAGGTGAGTTCCCTCACCGTGGAAGGTGCAGATGGGGACTGTGTGTCCTGAATGGCAGGCACACGCGCTGGAGGTGACTGGGTGTTTGACGAAGGTGTACTCTGGTGTGGGGAACCCCCCTTCCCCTTAGGCTTCATGAACTGGAGGCCTGCAAGTTCCTCTTCACTGCCTCTCTGCATGAATGACCCGCAGAAGTTCATCAGCGTGTTGCAGAGCATACCCTCCATCTGAGATAGGCCAGTCGTCCTGGCCTGTTGCGGCGCATATGGGACAAGGCTGCTTTGGTCCAAGCTGCCTTTGAGGCGCTTGCTGTTCTTGCGCAACGCCGCCAAATCATCATCACCAAATGTTGTCGGTGTCTCCGTCTTGCTGGGGCCATCATCCTTGTCATAGTCAAAGAGGTCAACCGGCAAGTCATCTGGGTTGTCGGGGTACATGGTCAAGTGAGTCTTCTTGCTGGCCTTGCTCCCCTAGACTTGGACTTCAGAAGCCCCTTCAATTCCTGGAGCTGGTTCCGCCTGCCCTGCACATTCTGGTCATTCCCTGCAGTTGTGGCGATGATAGCCAACACCTTCTGGTACAGCCGCTCACATGGACAGACGAGCCCTATCCGCACCATGCGGCAGCACACAACATCAATCTTGTTCACAAAGCTGATGTGCTTGGACTCCAAGGTCTCCAACTCTCGGTGGCTCAGATAGGCCTTGAAGTTGGGGCAATCTTGAAGAGCACGCCTTGTGGTTTTACCAGTCCCGTGGTTGAGCACTCCCCCATTGATTGCCGTCATCAACATCTCCTTCTGTGCGGGGGTCCATGGGCCCTCATCAACCAGGCTCAAAAGACTAGTGGCCTGCTCTGGGGGAATCGACAAGCCTGAGAGCTTGGAAACCCACTGTTTGCACTGCTGATCTTGCACAGCAGCATGACCTGCCCCCACAGACTGGTGGGTGGCGATGTATTGCTGAACAGACTTCAGCTCCTCCATAGGAAGAGGGGTCGTCATCCCTACACGGCCCGGCCTACAAACACAATCAAATGCCTGCAAGCATTCACAACAGAACCACACATCTGTGCCAGACACGGTCGGCCAAAGTTCCGCTCAGAATTGGCCACGAAAGAAGGCACCCCCAAGTCACTATTATATATAATATATAACATCTATTGGGTGGGCGCAGGAGGACTTGACTTGGAAGTGTTTTTCATTGCCAAGTCTGAGCGGCAAATGGCAATCTCAGTATCTACTTGCATCAATTTCCGTGTAGCCAAGCCATGCGAGAACAAGTCCCTGCATGGGCGAGCACGAATGCCCTGCATCTTTTTCAGACTGGGAGAGCCAGCTCTGTTCAAGGTTCAAAAAGTCTTGGAATTTCGAGGCTTCAGGCCCAATACGTGAATAAGACACATCTAGAATCTAAAACCTCTTGCATTTTGTTCCATCATGTTCAGTTGCCACCTGAACAACCCAAGGCCTACTCCTCGAAAAACGCCTACGCTGCGCTGAAAGGCAGATAGTTCTCAACAATATATTGCCGCCATTTTGCGGCTTCCCTCTTTCCAACAGCCTCAGCGGTCTTGTCAATGGATTTCTTCACCCCTTTCTTGGGCTTCTTCACATCCTTAGCCTTCGTCAACTCCCTGTTTTCGAAGAAGCTCGCTGACCGAAACAAGACCTTGGGCACCTCCACGTACGTTTTGGATGTAATGAGCTTAATCTTGTGCGATGCGCCAATGAGGCCCTTGTTCAAAAGGTTCCTCAGAACCGGTTTCGGGAAACATATATCCATAATATTTTATCAGCATTAACCAATCCATACAGGATCTCTAGTGGAAACAGCATATAATTTCCAACACAACCAAAGGATCACCCGGAAGTCATCATATATCTTCTCTTTCAAGACCTCATAAGCCATCTCGATGCGCCTGACCAAGATCGTAGCCCCTGATGTGGCCTTCACCATTACATCCATGATGTCACCTTCATGCAAGGTCATGTAGACCGAGCCCACAAAGACACCAGCAGGGAGGCGCCTTACAACCCCATAGCGATCATGTTTTTCGTTGTGCATAAGGTAAAGGAGCTGGCCTCCGGGCAAAGGAAAAGCTGGTCCCTTACACAGGAACTTCACAAAGCACTCGGAGGACACAGATCCAGACAAATAGATGTACCCATCACCCCTTTGCATACGAATCACCTGGGTCCTCAGATGATGCAGCTACAGCCATCAATGCCAAGACACTGAAGACCAAAACACTCGTGAACAAAAAACAATAATCAAGTAAACTATCAATCAGAGCATCACACCCAAAGGAAACCATGGAGTCTCGCCGGACGGTGTGCACTGACGACCACGCATTCCGTACGTCCCAACCATGTCTGGGCGTTCGATGAACCTGAAGTCCCACAGCCAGTCCTTGTCAATCTGAGGATGATCCTCCAACAAGCTTGACTCCGACGCTGGATCAGATGCCATGACAGGTGTCAGGTCGATGTGAGTACAAGCAGGTCTCTACTCAAGAGCTTTGAGTCACGAGTCAGGAAGGTATCAAGGGATGTCTGACACGAACCACGGACTCATTCATCAGATGAAGCCATCCAACAACCCCACCCTCAACGCTTAGCCATAAAACTTCGTCACAAAAAGTGGGCCAAGGAATCTTCTCAACCTGAGTTGACACACGAACGCAATGCTTTCCTGCCAGCGGTCAAGGCCCTGTTGGCCACACAAGATCGCGTCGCACTTCATGACTCGGTCATGGCCTCCCCTCAAATTGCCATCTTCACGGCAAAAAGTGATGCACTGCCAGAACTGGCACCCCAATGTGGAACAACAATAGGATAGTTGGAGATATGTGCACCTATTGTTGAAACACAATAGGAAAAGAATATGTGTCAGAACCTATTGTTGAAACACATTGGAAACTCAAATCCCCAATGTTGAACAACAATAGCTCAAGATTCAAACTATGAACCTATTGTTGATCAACAATAGGTGTCACTAAGCGAGATTTTCAGGAATGTGCCATTGTGTCTCTTCCGGAGTGGTTCTCAACCTTCATCACTTGACTCCAGGCAGGCCAATCAAGCCAACAGCTCTGATTCCAGCAGGCGTGTCTTCCAATTTTTTTTCAAAAACACAGGTTTGCACAGCGCCGGATAGGTTGGGAATTTGCTTCAAAACATGCATTTTGTTAGGGTTTAAGCCATGTGCTCTGATAGCTTCATTACCCAGACACGCCCGCTCCCAAAACTAATGTTAGATTCACGACGAACGAAAACCTGCAAGTGGTGACCAGATGGGAGGGGCATCAAACAACACATGTGGAGATGAGGAATTACCTATCCAATCAATGTGCCCTACACCGCTCGCCCCTTCCCTCCACACCATGCGCCCGTCTCGATCGATTAAAGACCACTTGACAATGGCCACTTGCTGCATGCACTGCGCCCTTCAACAACATGTGTAGTTTTAATTTCAATCAACTATGACAATGTCAGGTGTAAAGAGTAAAGAATGCGTCACATCAATGTCAAGTGCAAAGAATTCTGTCGATCTGTCAATGAATGGGTCAGTGGATTGGTGCACAGTGCACAGTGCATGCCCTTTAGGTTGCTCCCTCACAGCTCACCTCGTGACCCTCGTGAGGAAGATGAAGCAGCAGTGCTTTGCACCACGGCGGTGGCCAGCTTCTCCATGACATCCAGCATCTTATCGGCCTGCGCCCCGCTGCCGCGCTGCCGTTTGCGAGCCCTGCCAGCACCCTTCCTCAAGTAAAGCGCAGGTCTGACTTTAAAAGATTATATAATATCTTATGATACCGCGGATAAAACTGGTTCAACCGTGTTGAATGGAACCAGTGTATTTCTGTAAGTATTTGGTTTTCTCGAGGACTTGATGCTGACCTCCTAACTGAAACAAGTGAACAAAAAAGCCATCTGAAAAGGTTGCGCCAAAAAAAAGAACGAGTGTCGGCCACACTGTTCCTTGCTCATCCCGAAAACCACCCTTGATGTATGTCCCGGTGGCTGGCTTTTCCGCATTGGTTTTCGACCATGGCGCCTTCTCGACAGCCCTGCTAGATTTGGCACCTTTGCCACCTTTCCAGCCTCTGGTCCATGTCGATTGACCCCACCACTGCTGCCTTCCACCCCAGTGATGCTCCTTCCAATGACCTTCATGCTGGCGAGGTGCAAAGTTCGTTGGCTGTTGCCGCTGACGGAATGGCCAATTTGGCGACCACTCCTTTCCCGCGAAGTCCTCCTCCTTGACTTTGCTCTCTGGACTGGTCGCCTCCTCGGTCCCATCTTCTTCCTTCACCTCCATCTCGGACCATCCACCCTCAGCCCAGGAATCTGAATGCCACCACCACTCTTGGTCCTCTTCCCCCTCCTCCTCTTTCATCTCTTCCTTCACGTTCACTTCTGGCGCTTCATCTTCTCCTGCATTGATTGCACCACGCAAAGCTGCAGCCAGCGCTCCATCATCCTGAGCACGGCCAAAGACATGCGAAATCAACCACCCCACCCCCCCATGGGGTTGCGTGGATTCTTTTCCTGACCTTTCATCCCCGCTAATCCCCTTTAACAACAGTCTTATGGCTTCCGTATTGGGACCTACGCAACAAACAAACTGGTACAAAACAAAATTGAGCATCCTCCCACTCTTCATCAGCGTAGCCGCTGCTGCCGCCCGACATGGTCAGCTGCCACCGACAGGACGAAGGCGTCTTGCAATCGCGTAATGAATGAACAGTTACCTTAACTAGGTGTATTGTTTGTTGACCTTACACTCAATCTTGACAGTTGAACTCCATAGCGCAAATTCGCCTTCAAGAAACGTGCAATGCTCTTGATGACATACTCTCCCACGTGATCCCTTAAAAATGGGGATATTGATTGTGCTGCCATACTCTTATACCCTTCAAAGCGAAACCCTCAATGCGTTTGTACTGATACAACTGGATATCTTGATTGAGCATCAATTTCACACAAACAGATTGTCATGTGTCTGATCGCGGCCACTTGGTTTCACAAGTCCTATGGACTGAGAACACGCCTGTCAAACCTGCAGCTGCTGAGCCCAAACATTCAACCTGAAAGGTGTTCTTGCCGGCGCTGAGCAACCTGCTCCCTCTGAATATTTCCCTGCCAAAAACATGTGGAACGGTCTCTGTTGGACTGGGAGGTTGAACAATGTGCGACCAAGTAGGACGAGGCAAAGTTCAGCGAAACGTGACAGAACAAATCTCAATCACACATTAGCAATTGAAACTCTTGATGCATTCACCTTGAACTGCTGCCAACTTCGAAAGTTAGAGTTGTTGCACATCCTGATCAAAGACAACATGAATGGTTCTTAAAATGCTACGAAAGCAAGATGTGATTCGAATCTTGACCACTGAATAAACAAAATACCATTTTGAGCGCACTCACACCGGGATCAGCTACAACTCCAAAGTGCTATCTACAGGTCAGGCCAGTGACGGGCAAGGAGTTCAAAACATTTCTTGAGAACTAGGTGTACTTTTGAAGCAAATTCGCGAACGACCTTTCTTAGGATCCTCATTGATTTGGTTTCAGCCAGAAACATTTAGGTGGTGTTTTTTCTTTGGAGACTTCTTCGGTGAACCCTTGCCCCTCTTAACCCGTTTGCGTGTGCGGCCAGTGTTCCCTTCATCCCTTGATGATTGGATCATAGCCTTAATGTACTCCAGCGTGGTGGTTTGAAACTCGACCCAAATGTCTGGGTCTTTGATTGACCAAAGGCATTTCACAACAATGGGACCCCAGGATTGGCCATTGTGCTCGATCTGCGGTAAGGTGATGTTGACCCATGGCGTGGCCAGCATGTCCTTGTCATTCTCTTTCACAACTCTTTTCTTAGCCCTCTTGCGATGCCCTGTGTGTGTCTCAGCCTCCCCCCACGCTAGAATCCAGGACGTCTTCTACAGCATGGACTGATGCACCCCCTCTGAGGTCCAACATATGGTCAAAACTCTTGGTGTTGCAGCTCTCACCCTTCCCCTTTCGAAGATCCATGCCCTTCCCTAAGACGAAGTAGGTCAGGTCGCGGTCAAATTCCCCCAGGCGGATGAACTGTCGGTGACAGTGCTCCATCACATCTGGGAGCCATGGTTTTTTTCATGCCCGAGAACTTGATCACCCACGCCTTTGTCAATGTGACGTTGGCGTTCTCTGTGGGCTCACTGTCAGAAGACATGGCTCAAACACTTTCGCAAATGGGGTGGGAGACTAGTCAAAAACCCTTTCGTACTGAGAGCACACAACGAGCACTGCATTGCAATAACCAAGGCGAGAGCTTCAATGTCCCTGCTCATGATCTTTGTTTCAGCGCAATGAATGCTAGCTTGTGACTTTCCAAATCAAAAGAAAACCTGGGCTTGACAGAGTCCAAGCTATTGCGCATTTTGTCAATGTACTGTGCGAGATCATGTCCCTGCACAGGCGAGCTATAATAGCCCTGCTTTCTGACTGGGGTCCCAGGCCCAGCCACGGCGTCGAAGGAACCTGGATGGCAGGGCATGGGAAACATTGTTTAGTGAGCTCTTTCAATGAGCTTCCTGAATTCACCCCAAATTCAGCAGAGTTAGAAACATAACGCGCGTTTGACAAGAATCATTTGTGGCACGCACACGTCAAACATGACAGTCGCATCTTGCAGTGACACACGAAGGCGACCTTACCATCGCCTAAATATACCACCGCACTTGCTTGCGCAGTTTTGCACATCTCTTTCTCTCTCCAAAACTGAGCAGAAGCCAATGGTTCCAACAGATGTCCGCGCCAATGTTAGGCAAACACGAAAAGCAACGAAGACTGTAAATACAAAACTTATACGTGTATATTATATATATAGTTGTACATTGTTACATACAGGATACAAACATATAGATATATAGAAAGATAAATATAATTCCTGGTTCAGATTCAGACCTACTTGCGTGAAAGATTGGTGGAAACAGTGATCCACGCACAATCCATGCACTGGCTTCGGCTGGCTATACGGCCTCGTGATTCGACCTCTTGGCTTGAGGCTACGCGTTCAATCATGACCTTTGGTCCTGTGCCTCTTGAAAGGACGCGTCAGTGGCTCCAACTCGTCAACGTCCTCATCGCTGGGCTTTGCCTCCACGGCTTCCATGACCAATTCATCCCCATTGGCCAATGCTTTGGTGTTCTTCAACAGGGGAATTTTCATACCTGGATTGGGCTTGGAAGGATCAAAGGTTGAAGTCAAAGCCATATTGCACTCTCCTGGCTCAGCCGAACTCCGAACGCAAAAGAAGGGACTCACAAAGCCAGGCTTGCTTTTGTCTTTCCCTCCATCGGAGAAGAAGGGCTGAATCCAGAAGACCATTGACTCACAAGATGCCACTTTGGCATGCTTCAAGGAAAGCTGTCCCAAACAGAGGCTAGTCTTGTTGCCATCCATGCTCTGGCCCACCCTGCGACCGTCCAGCTTCAATGAGCAAGGAACCAAGACGAGTTTGCCCTTAGGAAAGGATTCTGTGGCAAAGACTGCCTTCACTGGTTTGGCCTGCACCCTCAACTGCCCATGGGCATGGTGATGAGCTGCCTCTAGGTCAAACAATGCCTGCATGACCTGCCCCCGCAGGCAGTGAGCCAAGAATGCTGGGGAACTCAACGGCAACAAATCCGTCAAGCCTTCAACGTCCTGAGGCTCAGATTTTCGCTCAACCACCTTCCAGCCCCCCCTGCAACAATGTTGCAATCTTGAAGGTTGCTTTCCCTGAGATGGGACCATCCTCGACCTCAACAAGGACATTGTCCTTGGAAAATGAACGGATCCGAGCCAGCGTTTGATCCTTTTTGCGCTGGATGTAGACCCCTGGTTCAAAACCAGCCTCTCGAGCAAATTGGGAAGGCTCCACCGTGCCATCGGAATTGAATCGCCTGATCCTTGGCACCGCTGCTAGGAAGAAAACCCCAACCCCCATAGATCACCAACAGAACCCCGAAACCGAAGTCAAGGAGTAAAATGGCAATAGAAAAGTAACTGCCCTTAACAAACACTAGGGCTCGTATCTGCCTTTGTCGTTTCTTTGGGGTCATCAGTACGATCTTCCTTGAAGGCGTCCCACTCTGAGCAAAGACGAACATGCTTGGCAGCCTCAAGCTTGTCCATCAGCCGACAGGCTGCAGCTTCCTGGCAATTTGAGATGTTCACCTCACTGTGTCGCTTCCCAAGCATAGCTAGCATCAAGTCTGTTTCGAACTCCGCCATCAACGTGTGCACAGTTGGGTCGCAAACACCGTGACTCTCAACCAGCGACCAGCAGCGCCGAATCAGGCCATTGGCCTTTTCAGCATGTGTCTTGAACTCTCGACTGGTGACCGCTCGCTTCACATCCTGCGGCGTGATCTTCAGCGGGCTCGGGCTCATGTAGGCAGCCCCAAGCAAAGCCTAAGGTGACACAGCCTACTTTACAACAATACATTATGTATATACCTATATACATATATTAACGTTTTTATTTAGGGAGCTGCACGCTTTGAAGTAATTGGCTGGGCTATATCCATTCTGGCTGCCATGTCGTTAAGGTCAATCAACAAAACAAAATTGGAAGAACCCTTTGAGACAAAACTTGTGGTTGATAGTTTGGCATTTGACTCGAGAAAAGGGAAATAGTGCATTACTGGTACACACACAGAGGGTTCAGCAAAACGGAACACATTCAGGCATAGAAGCGTGTCTCAAATCGATCATCGAATCTTGGACTCCTTTGCCCTCTGAAGACAGCGCCTCAAAGAAGTCCCCCCCAAGCTGCTTGCTTGAGGAACACTGTTGCTTGACTGCCTTCTCCACCCTGTCAAGCAAACCTGGAGCTCCGGCTGAGAACTTCACAATGAACCGGTGCATGAAGGGTGCTGCAGGAGCACACAATGGCTTGCTACGCAGCAGGGAGTCCTTCAAGTCCTTGTAGGAGCACGGGGCTTTGCGCTTTTCTGCGCTCCTCACCATGTTCTCAATTCTCTTGAGAAGCTGCAGCTCGTGCTCTCCTTTAGCCAGGTGCCCACTGGCATTTGAAGCGCTCTGGATTAGGCCCTTCATCTCTGGGAACTCTCGAAGAGGCTCAAAGCTGATGACCCGCCAACGCAGTCCGCTTGTGACTGCTTCTGCGTAGAGAGGGTCGATGTCCTTGATCACATCCAAGCTCAGCCGGCCTGATGAGTGCACCAGCTCTTCAATGTCGGACATACTCCCTGACGCAATGCATCGAAGACCGGCATTGAGGTGAGACCCTGCCAGTGACGTAAACCTCATATGAGGGCATGGTGGCAAGTAGCCCTGCGCTTCCACTGCAAGCTTTTCGTTGAACACGAGTGGCTCCCGGTCAAGCGGATCGAGCTCCGCGCAAACCGGAGCCGTTTCAGAACTGCAGAAGCCAACTTCTGTGATCGAACGAATCAGATCATGACAGTCCTTCACGCTGATCCCAAAACCATCTCGATTCTGTGGGTCAGTGCCAATCAGGTGCGGTTCGATGCGCATGAACCTGCACATGGAGTGCCGCTCAAGGCACGAGTACAGGAGGTTCACCCCCTGCACCAGCCCTGATTTCTGGCACTTCTCAAGCGCTGCCGCAATCTCTGCCTTTACCGCGGGGTCCATTCTTCGCAAAGACGTGTTTCAAAGAACCTTCTCTTGAGCCTGTCACAGCGAGCTGGAAGCCCTGCTGGAGCGAGCACTGATTGCCCTGCTCACCCGCTTCACTCCAAAACAAGCAAGTCTCTGTGTTCGTAACCTGTTACGCCTCTAGCTGTTACACCTCTAAAGTTGAACATCAACAGAAACAGCAACCCCAAAAAGAAATGCATGAAAGCATGGAAACCCACAAAACATCTGAAAGAGAGGCATCCCTCAATTCCCACCAGACCCCAAAGAAAACCTTTCAAGAAAGTAGGTTATAAAAGGGGCTCGACCAGTTATATATATATATAAAATATAGCGGTAGAATCGAAGAATGCCTCTCCATCACACGCTCCAGTCCTTTCCTTTCCCTCTCCCTTCCCCGGTCCCCGGTGTGGCTGGCCTGCTCCCGCAGGCTGCCACAGCTCCGCCGCCCGTCGCGGTGCACGGCCGTGGCGGGACGGTCGGACCCAGGTTTTTGAGGTTGGGAACCTATACCTTTGAATGGGTTTTTAGTACATGGTTAGGGGGGCCGCAGAAATTTCTACAAGTCAGTACTTTACGAGAGTACCCCGCCTACACCTACAACACTAGGTTTGTGCTTCTTCACACAAAGAGTCCCAACAGGGAACAAGTTGTAGACCAAACAGCATTAAATGTTACAGGCCCTTTGTAGGGGCAAATAGATGTTGCGAAAAACCCTGTTTTGATGGCATTCTAAGTGTGGGTGGTACACTTAGCCAACTCCGACA